TACGTAATTTAGCAATGTTTCTAAGGTGGAAAAAGGCTGTTCTTGTAACAGATGAAATATGATTTTCGAAAGACAAGTTGCGGTCTAGTATAACACCCAGGTCTTTTACTGTAGTGGAAAAAGTAACAGGGCATCCTTCTATATTAAAGTCGTATTGTAAGAGGTTTTGTGTGTAGTTTTTTGGACCAATAAGTAATACCTCCGTTTTATCTGAATTTAATAGCAGGAAATTACGCGTCATCCAGCATTTTATATCTTTGAGACATTCTGTCAATTTAGATGAGGTAATGTTTTCATCTGGTCGTGATGAAATATATAATTGAGTGTCGTCAGCATAACAGTGGAAATTAATTCCATGTTTTCTTATAATATTACCAAGTGGCAGCATATATATTGAGAATAGCAGAGGGCCTAGCACCGATCCTTGCGGTACTCCGTAGTCTACTGACGTTAACTTTGATTTTCCCCCGTGTAAAGAGACAAAATGATAACGGTCAGATAAGTACGATCTAAACCAGCTTAATGCCTGTCCCTGAACACCAGTGTAGTTTTGTAGTCGATCCAAGAGTATTTTATGATCTATAGTGTCGAACGCGGCGCTAAGATCAAGTAGGACTAGTATTGAGATACAGCCTTGGTCAGAAGCTAAGAGTAGATCATTTGTAATTTTAACTAGCGCAGTTTCTGTACTATGATGCGGTCTGAATCCTGACTGGAATTTTTCATAGATATCATTTTCTTGCAAAAAAGAGCACAGTTGAGCGGATACAACTTTTTCTAGTATTTTGGACATAAATGGAAGATTTGAAATGGGTCTGTAATTTGCTAGGTTATTTGGATCTAGTTGCGGTTTCTTAATGAGAGGTTTTATTACTGCCAACTTGAATATTCTTGGAACATGACCTAAGAATAAAGACGAGTTAATAATATTGAGAAGAGGCTCTTCCACTACAGGTAACACTTCTTTCAGTAGTTTAGTGGGTATTGGATCTAATGAGCATGTTGTTGGTTTAGATGCAATAATAAGTTTATTTAGCTCTTCCTGTCCTATAGTTGTAAAGCGGTGTAGTTGTTCTTGAGGGACGATAATTGAGGCTGAATCATAAGAGACCATAGAGGATTGTACATTTATAATTGTGTTTCGAATGCTTTCTATTTTCTCATTGAAATAATTCATAAAATCATTACTACTAAACTGTAACGGTATATTTTGCTCTGGTGATGTCTGTTTATTTGTTAGTCTAGCCACGGTGTTAAATAAGAACCTTGGATTATTTTGGTTATTTTCTATTAGTTTGCGGAGGTGCTCAGCCCTGGCTGTTTTTAGAGCCTTTTTATAACGTGACATACTGTCTTTCCACGCGATTCTAAAGACCTCTAAATTAGTTTGTTTCCATTTACGCTCTAGGTTACGAGTTTCTCTCTTGATAGCATGCGTAGCACTGTTGTACCATGGTGCTTTAGTTTTCTCTTTAACCTTTTTTAATCTAATTGGTGCAACAATATCTAATGTACTAGTGAAAATGGTGCTCAAACTGCTAGTCATTTCCTCTAGTTCATCTGTTAGTTTGGGTTCACTGAGCAGCTGAGATAGATCAGGTAAGCTATTTGAGAATCTATCTATAGTGGTTGGAAGGATTGTTCTGCCTGGTCTATAACGTGGCGCAACATGACATATTTCAGCAGTACGTATTATGCACGTTACCATGTAATGATCAGTGACATCATCACTTTGCGGTATAATATCTATATCAGTTGGATTGGTTCCATATGATATAATTAAATCTAGTGTATGATTTAGACGATGAGTGGGACCACATTTGTTCACTGATATTTAGATTTTCTGGTTTAATTACAATAAGATTTTTGCTAGATCCTGCACTAGATTTATTGTTTGGCTTCACTAAACGAGGAATAGACACAGTTTCTATATAATGTTCTTCACTACGTATATCAATTAAGTTTGGACAGCAAAGACTGTGATTTGGATTTTGACTTATTAGTCATCTGGTGCGTAACGTCTTGGAGATATTATCCGACAGAACAGCCGCTCCGGCTCTGCTGGGGTGCAGGCCATCAGCACGGTACAGCCTGGGTCGCTCCCAGAACAGATTCCAATTATTTACAAAGAGCAGTTTCTGTTCATTACACAGTGACATTAACCATTCATTTAGTGCAAATAGTCTACTGAACCTTTCTTGTCCTAGTCGGTACGTGGGAAGCGGTCCAGACACGATGATCGTTGCCTCAGGCGCTGTGTTGCGTACGGTCTCGATCAGGCTCATGTAGTCCTTCTTCAGAACCTCCGTCTGCCGCAGCCTGACGTCGCTCCCTCCCGCATGCAGCACCACAGCTCCGACGCGCTCGTCCCCGGTCAGGATTTCGGGAACCTGTGCAGCGATATCAAGAACACGAGCACCAGGAAAGCAGTGAGAGCGCACCTTACCTTTACCTGAGGTAGCACGGACATGGCGGACCATGGACGTGCCGATGATCACGG